AAACAACAGCACAGTTGCGCAGGCTGTTGTGCACAAGTTTTATCTAAAACAGCAAATGAAAGTTCGTTGGATATTATTTACCCCACTTACCAAGTTAGGTATATTTACAGTTGCACGCCCTTTTTCGCCCAAGCCTAAGGTTAAACAGTGAGAATATTTTGTCAGGTTGTTGTTTACTTAGAGTTCCGCGCTCTGTTTTGCACAGTTTTTAGCTTCTTATCACATGGCGCTAATTTCAAGAAAAGCAACGGTTACGTAGAGCGTTTTGACGCCAATTTCAAGCAACAGCACAGTTGCGCGACTACTAAAGTGTGACGTCATAAAAATGAAATTTCTGAAATTATGGGATTCGGCAGGATATTCTGAAAGACCAATGTCCAAGAGGCCTACTTGCCAAAAATGAGCATTTGGGGGCAATTGTCACTGAGATCGTAGCCCAGTTAAAAATTTTTGGGTCGACCCAAGAAAAAATTAGAAGGGTTTGTATGGAGTTTTCTGAGTATAACTGGGCTACGATCTCAGAGAAAATTTGCCCCCAAATGCTCATTTTTGGCAACTAGACCTCTTGGACATTGTTCTTTCAGAATATCCTGACAGATCCCATAATTTCAGAAATTTCATTTTTATGACGTCATCACTTTAGTACTCTATACGGCCCATGGTGAAGCAAAACGACAGTTGCGATGTGCGATTTGGGGCCAATTTCAAACAACAGCCCAGTGGCGCACGCTGTTTTGCACAAGTTTTATCTAAAACAGCAAATCGAAGTTCTTTGGATATTATTGACCAAACAAACCCGTTTAGGTAAATTTAGAGTTGCGCGCTCCTTTTCGTGCAAGCTTCAAGTTAAACAGTGAGAATATTTTGTCACGTTGTTGTTTTCTTTACGTTTTTGACAAGAGACGCTTATTTTTAGCAATTCGTAGTTGCGCACACTGTTTTGCACAAATCTGGCAAACTTTAAAATGTCTGAACGTTTCTGACGTAACAACTTCATTTAAGGTACTTTACAGTTGCGCTCGGGTTTGAACAATTTTTAGCTTTTGAACACAAGGCGTAAATTTCAAGCCAAATGACAGTTTTGCAAGAGTGTTTTGACAACAATTTCGAGCGACAGGATAGTTGCACACGGTGTTTTGCAGAAGGTTTTGCTTTTTAACTATAGGCGCAAATTTTAGACAAAACGAAAGTTGCGCAGTGTGGTTTGCCTTTTTTGATTTGGAGCAACAAACCAGTTGGGTACTCTCTTTTGCACACGTCTTATCTAACACAGCAAATCGAAGTTCGTTGGATATTATTGACCACACAAACGAATTTAGGTAAATTTATGCCTTCCTTCCCTCTCAAACATATCAATTAATGAGATGCATTGCCTGAGCTCGTTTACTGGGCTCATTATGAAAGAGATACACCATATGGAGTAAAATGGCTAAGGGCAAAAGCCCAAAGCCGCTTTTATTTCAATATCAACATTCTATTGTCTGAAAAACATACTTGAAATATCAGCCCAGTAAAGGTGAGGGCACAAAAAACGCCAAAACAAAATTATACATATTCATTTATAAGGTCGACAACAATACGTATCAGAGAGGTTGGGAAAAGGGGAGGAGGTGGGTAAAAATGAAAATCGTCTTTACTCGATGAGAGTGTGAAAGAATGATCAGTAACCGATACTCGCCTCGATTTCATACAAGCTCAACTCCCTAGAGGGAAAATATGCTACAAATGTCCCATCCTAACCCATCTAATACGTCCCGGATGTTGTCACGCCAACTTTCTTTTCAGCGTCACACATTCCTAGAAAAGATATACTAAACAACAGTTCGGCAAAAGGCATAAAAATCCTATTTGCAAGCAAATATTTTATTTATGCGTTCCTTCCCTCTCAAACATATCAATTAATGAGATGCATTGCCTAAGCTCGTTTACTGGGCTCATTATGAAAGAGCTACACCATATGGAGTAAAATGGCTAAGGGCAAAAGCCCAAAGCCGCCTTTTTTTCAATATCAATATTCTATTGTCTGAAAAACATACTTGAAATATCAGCCCAGTAAAGGTGAGGGCACAAAAAACGACAAATGCAATGGAATGGAAATGACATTGCAGCCCCACCCCAGGAAATGCATCTCATTAGAATGAAAGGTAACAGTGGTGACGAATTACAACAGAATTAGAAGCCACAAAAAGCATGGTCAAACATGACCCTTGCACAATGAATAGACCAAAGCTAGGGAAATGCAGCCCCTGCCAGCATCTCCAAAAAGCAATCCTGTACAACTCCCCGCCAGTTGTAGAGGATTACTTAACAACTACTTATGAAAATGTAAAAACGCTAAGCAGCTACAATGCAACAAAAGAAATTTGACAAGCATGACCGTCCAAAGCCCTTGCAAATGGACGGCCAAGCGACTAGGAAAGTGCAGCCCTTGCAAGCACTCCAAGAAAATAATAATCGTGAGCACTGAACTGAAAACGGTAGAGAGTGGCTTTGCCTATTTCAACAAATAATATGGAAAATTAAGAAAATGTTGCCCATGCAAGGAAATCCATGACACGTCATCATGACCATCCTCAAAAGGAGAATATTATGGAGCTAGCTTGATAAAGAAGAGACCCTAATATACTTCAAAAAAGCGGTGGATTTCCAGCGACCTAGAATTCTAATCTGTGTGTCGGACATCCCCCGCTCTGTAGCATGAGAGGCAGCCCCTATTCGGAAACTATGGCCTTTGTAGACAGAAGGATTAAGACCGCAAAGCTTAATGGCAGAAGAAAGCTGGGCACTGAACCAAGATCTCGACACAGGTGACCCATCATCCTGAATAAAAAGTGCACCCTGACTATCACTCCTTGCTGATAAAAATTGCAACAAAATTTTGACCGGGCAAAAAGTACTTTGAGATGAAATAACTAAATAAAAGGGGGGCTGGTTATAGCTGTGCTTGAAATTCAAAAATTTAATTTTAAAACCGACGACCTCATGTGCACCGTTCACTAGTTTGGTCAACTGATGGATTTGTATGGGAGGAGAAGTCGTAGCGGAGAAGGTGATCTCACCCACCCTTAAAAAGCCAAAAAATGCAGTACTGCACATGGCCTGAAACATAAGAATCTGGTATTTTGACAATGGTAATAACGAAGCAGATTGCAACAACTTATGCACGATAGGAATTGTAATAGGAAGCCTGCTGTCTAAACGAGCATGCAGCTTCCCATAGCCCTTAAGCATCTGGACCACAACAAAAGCTTTAGATGGGTCAGGATAACCTGAAAGTTTGTGCGAATAGCTTAGAGCCGAAACATAAGTATTGACTGTTGAAGCAGCATACTTGAGGTCATATAGATAAGCAATAAATAAACAAAACATTGGTATAGATATGGGAAATTGCAAAGGTAACCCTGGAAAGGTCAGACGAGTAAAACGGTGAAACAAGTTCCATGCCCGCTGGTACGTTGGAAGGGAGGATGATTGCAAACTAGACTGCATAAGTGTTGCAACTATGGCTGCCAACTCTGGGGCTGCAGATGCAGGGGGATCTCCGTTGGAAGCTCCATGTGAGCAGCAGCCAATTGTTTGAAGGACTGAACCTGTAACCGAGATAAAGAATCGGCTAAGCGGTTCTTGACACCAGCAATATGCTTAGCCTTAAAAACAATATTGTATTCTAAACAGATTAGGACAAGCCTCCGAACGAAAAACATCAAGGATTTGTCCTTACTTGACTGCTTATTGATCACGTGGACTAGAGATTCATTGTCAGTAAAGAAAAGAATACAGCGATTACGCATCACATGACCCCACAAGTACAGGCTTAATACGATAGGGTAAAATTCTAATATGGCAATGTTAGAATAGGACCAAGTTGCGGGCCATTTCCCATAACACCACCTACTACCAAAAATAGCACCGAATCCTAATGCACCCGAGGCATCAGTATACAAGTCAAGTTTAGAAGAAGAGTACCAAGTTTCTTCCAGGAAAAAAGAGCGGCCGTTGAAATTAGATAAAAATGATAGCCAAACTTTTAAATCTTCTTTTACATCTTTTGAAAGTCGAATAAGATGGTGTGGGGATTGAATACCCACTGTTAGATCAATCAATCTACGCAAAAAGGCTCTGCCTGGTACTATAACAGAACAAGCAAAATTTAATAGGCCGGTTAAGGATTGCACCTCCCTCAAGGTGGCCTTCTTCCGACGTAAAAATTCCCAAAGCAGAGCGGAACATTTATTAAGCTTATCAGGAGGCAAACGAGCCTCCATTAGCACAGAATCTAATTCAATTCCAGCAAAAGATAATGTTGTTAAAGGGCCAAAAGTTTTTTCCGTTGCTGTAGGGATGCCAACATAAGAGCACAGATCAATAAACAAATCCAGTTGAGCTTGACAGAGCTGCCTGTCTGGAGCAACAATTAGGAAATCATCCAACAGATGGATAATATGGTCTATTTTGAATTTGTGCCGGGCAACCCATTCAACTGCGGTGCTAAAAATTTCAAATGTTCTACAAGAACTGGCACAACCCATAGGCATGCAGCGATCAAAATAAAAAGAACCCTGCCAGTGCATACCTAAAAGGCCATAGTCATCTGACTGTATTGGGATTATCCGAAATGTATTTTGGATATCAGTTTTTGCTAAGTAACTTCCCTGACCAGCCAATTTGATGCATCTTATGGCATCTCCAATAGTCGCATAACAAACAGTACTGTTTTCATGAGAAATCCCGTCATTTACAGAAGCACCCTTAGGGAAAGACAAATGATGAATAAGCCGAAACTCCCCAGGTGATTTTTTGGGGACCACGCCAAGTGGGAAAACAACAAAGGGGGATATTGGGGGAGAATCGAAGGGACCGGCTAAACAGCTGATAAAAGATTTTTGGCGTGCGAGGACTCCCGGATCCCTTGAAAATGGAGGGGAAAACCATGTGTAAACCCATCAAAAAGAAACATCACAGTTGAATGGTTATACCCGGACAAGAGATACAAAAGCCTACTAAACTTTACTGGAGTTGGGAAGTGAGGATTTGGCTCCTGCGGATTTGGCATTGGTAGTTGTTCTTGGTGATTGCTTTGATTGGGAACGAAAAGTACAAATACTCATTCGATGAGCACCCTCACACCTAGGGCAGGAATGCTTAAAGGAACATCCAGCACACTGAGCCTTCTTGTGAAATTTAAAGCAGTAACCTTTAGGGACAATGCTGGACTCCGAAAGGCGTGACCGAAAGGAGTTCCCAGGAAGAGATTGTTTCTTACTAACGGGTTGCTGTGATCGCATCCACAATTCCCAATGGATGACTCCCCAAGGAAAAGCTGATGGCTGATTTTGCCGTAAATAACGAAAATTCTCATCGTAATAATGCCAATCGTGTCCCCGCGCAGCCAAATCCTGCACAATCTCCCCATACTTCATGAGAGCGGGAGCCTCTGAAGGAAATTGGCGAGTATATACCCCGACAAATACCATAAAGTTACTCGTCCATGACGAGATGGTCAAAAGCTTTCTGGTCTTAGTGACCGGTTCTAAGGCTAGTGACGGAGGCTGAGTGCCACCTTCATTATGTAAAACAACTTGATATTTGCTTTCTAAAGTAGGGTTGGTGGCCAAAGCCCCAAGGTCAATAAACTCATTTTTCAGAATCTTTGCTCGTAGCTTAGCAGATACACGAGCATCAATGGGTAGACTTGGTGAAGTAAACAGGGTGCTAGGCAATGGAGGGGTTATGGTTGGTAAATCACCTGACAGCCTCTCCTGAAATTGGCTAACAGTTCCGTGTATCACTGATTGACCAGGACTATCTGCAGGAATTCCAACCGCAGGCACCTCTGATATCTGGTCAGCTCCAGCTGCATCGCGAGTAACCGGCACGTCAGAAATCTGGTCAGGAATGTGGTGATCATTAGCATTGTGGTCTCCACCTGTTGATGAGAGCCGTCTTGTAACCTCATCAGACACCCTACTGACGATCTGCTCCACAAGAGCTTGAGGTAAGACCTCGGCCGAGACCTCTTGAGGCTGCGTCTGCTGAACAACTCCTGCTGAGCCTTGACTGGATTTGACCCAGCGGGAAAGCTTTCTGGCTGGGGCAGCAACAGTGGAGGCAGAGTTGGCTCTCTTAGGAGGCATTACCTGCAAACAAATGGAGAAGAAAAAGGGGAGGAATCATGGAAATAGACAGCTTATAAAGACCAATTAACATTTAGAAGACATGAACACCTTAAAATAAAACAAACAGGCCCGGTCATGCCATGTCAGACAAGAAGTCGACGCACCAGCAAGCCCACAAAAAATGGCCAAAGTAAAATAAAACACACAAAGGCTCCCCAAACACAAGGAATTAACAGTAGATTCCTCAACAAGTAAAACTGAGCTAAAAAGCTCAAACGTGACGAGGGAAGCACAAGGTAAAACCTTATATATGCGAACCCATCGTAACAAACTGGGACGAAATGTCCACACAATAACACGGGGAGCCAAAAACCGGAGAGAAACCCCGAATAAATAAAACGAAAAAGGTGTCCATTACAAATCTAAAAATTAAAGAAAGCAAAGCACAAAATTCAAATAAGCAGTATATTCAAATGTAAAGACGCAAAAACGTGACAAATATTCAAAGCATGCGAATTGCTCTTAAGATAGCGCCTCGATAGCTACGATATAACTGGTACTGACCAACAGAATTGAAATGAACGCCATCATTTAAATAAAAATCCTTACCGGGGGACGAAAAAGGGGTGTGCACCCAGCAAAAAACATTGGGAAGGTCTCCTAAAACGGCGTTCGTGTACTGATTCAAAGCGGTAGCGCTCGTGAGAAATGAAGTCTGAGACGCGGCACATGAGAAAACACGTGGGATAACATGACAAACGCCGACCACGCGGACAGCGAGATTATCCACCAAGAAACGAACAAAATCATCTATTTCTGAACCCACCACTTCAGGACCGACACGAGTTAAATCATTTGTCCCTATCTCCAGAATTGATATCCGGAGACAACTGTTTGACCACGTGCAGATCAAACATGCGAAGTTTAGGCACTGTCCGACCTCCCACACCATGCATAAAAACCACAGCAGTACCCTTAAGGTTAAAATTTAGGTCTGCCCGCTGGTCAAAACCTGTTTCCAAGTCATGACACAGCCTACGAACGAAGGAATGGCCTAAGATAAGTACAACGGGTGACGAACGCGCCATATTTTAGCTTACAAAACAGAGCGAGTAATACGTGCAGCACGGTGAAAAAACCGCAGAATTCTAACCGAAAGCGAAGGATAATCTCAACTTTCCTCAAAACAGGCAGAGAGAACAAAGAAATATAAGAAAATAAGGAAAAACTTTCCGAATAAAGACAGACAGCGTCGGATAAAAATGAAAATCGTCTTCACTCGACGAGAGTGTGAAAGAATGATCAGTAACCGATACTCGCCTCGACTTCATACAAGCTCAACTCCCAAGAGGGAAAATATGCTAAAAATGACCCATCCTAACCCATCTAATACGTCCCGGATGTTGTCACGCCAAGTTTCTTTTCAGCGTCACACATTCCTAGAAAAGATATACTAAACAACAGTTCGGCAAAAGGCATAAAAATCCTATTTGCAAGCAAATATTCCATTTATAGTTGCGCTCCCTTTTTCGTCATAAGCTTTAGGTAAACTTTTGAGAATATTCTGTCTGGTTGTTGTTTTCTTTACGGTTTTGACACAACCAAAACGGCAGTCGCGAAGAGTGTTTTGACGCCAATTTCGAGCAACAGCACAGTTGCGCACGCCGTTTTCGACAAGTTTAGTTGAAAACGACATTTTAAAGTTCTCCGCACGTTTTTGACTTTTCGCCAATTCCAAACAACAGCTTAGTTGCGCAAGCTGTTTTGCACAAGTTTTATCCAAAACAGCAAATCAAAGTTCGTTAGATATTATTTACCGCACACACTAATTTAGTTGTGCGCTCTTTTTCGCCCAAGCTTCAGGTCACACAGTGAGAATATTTTTTCAGGTTGTTGCTCCTCACGTTTTTGACCAAAAACGCTAATTTCTAGCAATTCCTTGTTGAGCACACTGTTTTGCACAAATATGGCAAATTAGAAGATGTCTTCACGTTTCTGACCTAACAAGCCTATTTAGGTAAATTTACTGTTGCGCTGTTTTGCCCCAAAATGGCACATTTGCAGAGGTCTGCACGTTTCTGACCTAAAAAGCCAATTTAAGTAAATTTATTGTTGCGTGCTCTGTTTTGCATAATTTTTAGCTTTTTAATACAAGGTAAATTAAAAGTTGTGCGCCCTTATTTGCGCAATAAAACAGTGAGAATATTTTGTCACGTAGTTGTTTTCGTCACGTTTTTGACAAATGACAACAATTTTAAGCAATTCGTAGTTGTGCACACTGCTTTGCACAAAAATAGCAAATTTGAAGATGTGTGAATGTTTTTGATCTAACAAGCCAATTTAAATAAATTCACAGTTGCGCTGTTTTGCACAAGTCTTAGCTTTTTAACACAAGGCGCAAATTTCAAGCCAAACGACAGTTGCGCCAAGGGTTTTTGACCCCAATTTTAAGGAAAAACCACAGTTGCGCAGATCGCTTCGCACAAGTTTTTTCTTAAACAGTAAATCGAAGTTCCTTTGATATTATTGACCACACAAACCAATTTAGGTAAGTTTACAAATGCGCTCTCTCTTTCTACACAACTTTAGGTCAAACTGTGAGAATATTTTGTCAGGTTTTTGTTTTGTTCTCCTTTTTCACAAAAGAGTCTAATTTCTAGCATTTTGTTGTTGCGCACACTGTTTTACACAAATATCGCAAATTTGAGGATATCTCCACGTTTCTGACCTAACAAGCCAATTTACGAAAACTTACACAAAAATGGCAAATTTCAAGATGTCTTCACGTTTCTGACCTAACAAGCCCATTTAAGTAAATTTACAGTTGCGTGCGCTGTTTTGAACAACTTCTTGATTTTTAACAAAAGTTGCCCATTTGAAGCAAAACGACAGTTGTGAAGAGTAAATTGACGCCAATTTGGAGCAACAGCACACTGTTTTGCGCACGCTGTTTTTCACAAGTTTTATCCAAAACAACATTTCAAAGTTCTCCACACGTTTTTGACTTACGAAGTCAATTTAGGCAAAGTTACAGTTGTGCCTGCTTTTTTGCACAATTTTTAGCTCGAAGAGTTAAACGTTTTGTCAGATTTATGTTCTCCGCCTGTTGTTAACAATACAAGCCAATGTCGAGCGCATGTTGTTAACGAAAGACGCAAATTTCAAGGAAAACCAAAGTTCCGTGGAGTGTTTGATGTTGATTTCAAACAAAACCACATTTGCGCAGATTGTTTTGCACAAGCTTTATTTAAAACAGCAAATCGAAGTGCCTTTGATATTATTGACCACTAAAACCAATTTAGGTAAATTTACAGTTGCGCGCCCTTTTTCGCACAAGGTTTAGGTTAAACAGTAAAAACATTTTGCCATGTTGTTGCTTTCTTCACGTTTTTGACAAAGGAGGCTAATTTTTAGCAATTCGTAGTTAGTCGTATAAACATAACAACTTTCTTTAATTTTCCAGACATGTTTCGACGGTACATCCGTCTTCTTCAGTGTTACATATTTTGAAATCGCCGTTGAATTTAAAGCGCGCGATCTTACAAAGTTTGTTACATTGCGTTGTCAATATTGCGTACCAGAACAAAATTGAATGAGTGACGCTTATTTCTTTACAGGGAGAGAGTCAGGTTAATGTGTTACACCTGCTGGTTGAGATCGGGCTTCTCCCATTTTATAAACATGGATTCCTTAAGCTTCACTTCACTTCATTCGTTGTTGTGAACACTGTTTTGCACAAAAATTGCAAATTTAAAGGTGTCTGCACATTTCTGACCTAACAAGCCTACGTACGTAAATTAACAGTTGCGCGCTCTGTTTTGCACAATTTTCAGCTTTCTTACACACGGCGCAAATTTCAAACAAAACGACAGTTGCGCAGAGTGTTTTGACGCCAATTTCGAGTAAGAGCTCAGTTGCGCACGCTGTTTTGCACAAGCTTAATCGATACAGTAAAAACCCGCGTATAAGAACCTAACATTTAAGAACCTGCTAGGCTAAAATTTCATTTTTAAGCATCCTTCACATAAGAACCATTTTAGGCTAAAATCCTAAAACAGGTTCTTATTTTCCAAAAAAAATATATATATATATAGAATTCAGATATTTTAAATGCAATATTTTTGCTAGACTATATTGCCAGACATTGTATGAGATTAATACAAATTCCAATCCTCTATCAGTGGACATTTTTAAAGAGAAACTTTGACATTTTATCATGTTATGTTGTTGTGTATGCAAGATTTATTGACAATTATAGTGAAGGTTACAGTACCATAGGTTTAATTGTAACAGAATCAGATTAAAATAGTATAGTATTTTGCTTAACGAAGCCTCCAAGAATACTGTTTTTGGACATTAAACACCAGATCATTTAAAAATTCAGCTTTATTTCTTGAACAAAAGTTAAGAACCTAATTAAGAACCTAGTTAGCCTAATTTTACACTAAATACCATTTATATAAGAACCTGTTTAGGCTAACTTGGAAAAACCTAGGTTCTTATACGCGGGTTTTAAGGCGCCAATTTCAAGCAAAGTAACGGTTACGCAGAGTGTTTTGACGCCAATTTCAGGCAACAGCACAGTTGCACACGGTGTCTTGCACAAGTTTTAGCTTTTAAACAATACGGGCCAATTTGAAACAAAAAGACAGTTGCACAGTGTGATTTGAGGCCAATTTCAAACAAGGACACAGTTGCACACGCTGTTTTGCTCAAGTTTTATCTAAAACAGCAAATCGAAGTTCCTTGGATATTATTGACCAAACACACCCATTTGGGTAAATTTACCGTTGCGCGCTCTTTTTCGCGCAAGCTTCAAGTCAAACAGTCAGAATATTTTGTAAGGTTGTTGTTTTCTCCACGTTTTTGAAAAGAGACGCTTCTTTTTAACAATTCGTAGTTGCGCACACTGTTTTGCACAAATCTGGCACCCTTTAAAATGTCTCCACGTTTCTGACGTAACAACTCAATTTAAGGAAATTTACTGTTGCGCACCCTGTTTTGAACAATTTTTAGCTTTTTAACACAAGGCACAAATTTCAAGCCAAACGACAGTTGCGCAGAGTAATTTAACGCCAATTTCGAGCAAAAACACAGTTGGGCAGAGTTTTTTGCACATGTTTTATCTTAAACAGCAAACCGAAGTTCCTTGGATATTATTGACCACACAAACCAACTTAGGTAAATTTAGAGTTGCCCTCTCTTTTTCTACACAAGCTTTAGGTCACACTGTGAGAATATTTTGTCAGGTTGTTGTTTTCTTCACCTTTTTCACAAAAGACGCTAATTTCTAGCAATTCGTTGTTGCGCACACTGTTTTGCACAAGGGAAATTTAAAGATGTCTCCATGCGTCTGACCTAACAAGTCAATTTAGGAAAATTTACAAAAAATGGGAAATTTCAAGATGTCTGCCCGTTTCTGACCTAACAAGCCCATTTAGGCAAATTTACAGTTGCGAGCTCTGTCTTGAACAATTTCTAGCTTTTTACCAGAAGTCGCCCATTTCAAGCAAAACGACAGTTGTGCAGAGGGAGTTGACGCCAATTTCGAGTAGCAGCACAGTTGCGTTTGCTGTTTTGCACAAGTTTTATCGAAAACGACATTTCAAAGTTTTCTTCACGTTTTTGACTTAAGAAGTCAATTTAAGCAAAATTTCAGTTGTGCCTGCTTTTTTGGACAACCTTTAGCTTGAAGAGTTCAACTTTTTGTGAGATTTATGTTTTCCGCCTGTTGTTAACAAAACAAGGAAATTTCAAGCAAATCGACAGTTGCGCAGAGTGTTTTGACACCAATTTCGAGCGCATGTTATTAAAGAAAGACGCAAATTTCAAGGAAAACCAAAGTTGCGCGGAGTGTTTTGATGTTGATTTCAAACGAAACCACAGTTGCGCAGATTGTTTTGCACAAGCTTTATCTAAAACAGCAAATCGAAGTGCCTTTGATATTATGGACCACAAAAACTAATTTAGGTAAATTTACAGGTTTAGGTTAAACAGTAAGAATATTTTGCCAGGTTGTTGCTTGCTTCTCGTTTTTGACAAAAGACGCTAATTTCTAACAATTCCTTGTTGCGCACAGTGTTTTGCACAAATACGGCAAATTTGAAGATGTCTCCACGTTTCTGACCTAACAAGCTAATTTAGGAAAATTTACACAAAAATGGAAAATTTCAAGATGTCTGCACGTTTCTGACCTAACAAGCCTATTTAGGTAAATTTACTGATCCGCGCTCTGTTTTGCACAAATTTTAGCTTTTCAATACAAGGCGCCAATTTCAAACAAAACGAGAGTTGCAGGCAGTTATTTGACACCAATTTTGAGCAACAGGACAGTAGCAAACGGTGTTTTGCACAAGTTTTATCTAAAACGACATTTTAAAGTATTCCGCACGTTTTTGAGTTAAGAAGTCAATTTAGGCAAAATTAGAGTTGTGCCCGCTGTTTTGCACAATCTTTAGCTTGAAGAGTTCTACTTTTTGTGAGATTTATGTTTTCTTTATGTTGTTAACAAACAAGCAAATTTCAAGCTAAACGACAGTTGTACAGAGTGTTTTGACGCCAATTTGGACCAACGGGATAGTTCCGCACGGTGTTTTGCACAAGTTTTAGCTATAAGTTTTTTAAGTTTTTTCAAGTTTTTGCTATAAGGGCAAATTTGAAGCAAAACGACAGTTGCGCAGTGTGATTTGGGGCCAATTGGAAGCAACAGCACAGTTGCACACGCCGTTTTGCACAAGTTTTATCTAAAAGAGCAATCCGAAGTTCTTTGGATATTATTGACCATGCTCACCAATTTAGGGAAACTTTCAGTTGCGCGCCGTCTTTCTACAAAAGCTTAAGTCAAACAGTAAGAATTTTTTTTCACGTTGTTGTTTTCTTCACGTTTCTGACAAAAGACGCTAATTTCTAGCAATTCGTTGTTGCGCACGGGGTTTTGCACAATCTGCACGTTTCTGACCTAACAAGCCTATTTAGATAAATTTACTGTTGCGCGCACTGTTTTGAACAATTTCTAGCTTTTTAACAAAAGTCGCAAATTTTAGGCAAAACGACAGTTGGGCATAGTGATTTGAGCCCAATTTCGAGCAACAGCACAGTTGCGCACGCTGTTTTGCACGAGTTTTATCGAAAACGACGTTTCAAAGTTTCCGCATGTTTTTGACTTGAGAAGTCAATTTAGGCAAAATTACAGTTGTACCTGCTGTTTTGCACAATCTTTAGCTTGAAAAGTTCGACTTTTTGTCAGATTTATATTTTCCCCATGTTGTTAACAAAACAAGTTCCCTGGATATTATTGACCACAATAACCAAATTTGGTAAATTTACAGTTGCACCCCCGTTTTTTGCAAAAGCGTTAGGTCAAACAGTAACAATTTTGTGCCAAATTGCTGTTTTCTTTACGTTTTTGACAAAAGACGCAAATTTCTAAAAATTCCTTGTTGCGCAACTGTTTTGGACAAATACGGCAAATTTGAAGATGTCTCCACGTTTCTGACGTAACAAGACAGCTTAGGTAAATTTACAGTTGCGCGTTGTGTTTTGCCCAATATTTCGGTTTTTACACAAAGCGCCAATTTCAAGTAAAGCAACAGTTGCGTTGGGATTCATGTCGACTTTGCTCAAAAGTTTGGCCTCCTTACCAAAGACAAGAACGACAAGTATCAATTAGGGCCCAATTTAGACTATGCATTACCCACCAACACCTATAATGATACCACACTTCGTACGAGAACCAATCAAAGGTATCAGTGGTTAGGAGAACACTTTGTGGGGATTAAACCACACGATTTAATGGGAGGGAATGAGTTATTCAAAGTCAAGACCGAGGAAGGAAAGCAGTATATGTATCTCACCCGCTACGTCGATTGGCAATTCCTTAACTTAAATACCTTGTTTAATACACATGTGGGAACCATCAAACAAACGGTGATGTTGTATTGCGATGTAGTCGAATCGACCATCGTTGGGGCCTAAAAACATTCGTTGTTGAGAAAAGTGGAATTGGAACGTAGGGGTGAGGGCCGAGCTACGGTAGAACCCCTTCATCGCGAATGGATTCGACTGGGTACCAAACGAGTGGAAATCATTGAAGTGTCCCTCGCTACACCTCATGGATCCTTGTTGGTCCTACCCGCAGGCAAAACACCCGTGACCCTAGGGTTTTGACGAGTATAAAAGAACCCTCTCCTCTCTGATGACACAATCTTTCATCATGTTGGGTGGGTCACTCACACGATATCATACCCCCACTATGAAAGGAAAAGGGTTTTCACAAGAGTTAGTCAAATTAGCTGGACCCACATTGCTTCGATCCATTGGACATGGCCTTGACGCGTATGAAAAAGGGGCGTCTGCCGCAGAGACCGTAAAAAGCTCAAGCCAAGTGTTAAAACGAGGTCTGAAACGTAAAATTCCCGTAGCCGTAGGTCTTTATGCCAAAACCAAAGCTAAAGAAAGCTACAAAAAGAAACGACAACGTGTCAAACACATTTTAGGCGTGTAATCATTAGACGTGGACAAAAATCGCAATCACGTGTGAAACACCAGCGATCGGTGGATCGTTACAATTCACCCTACCAACTGGGTGGCACTATTTTTTAGCCCCATGAATCCCTGGGCCATGACCTCCTACAAACCTTATGGGGTAGACCCTTTCAGGCTACGTCAATTAAGAAAAAAGGCGAATAGACGCGCTAAACAGAAAGGACGACGTGTGCACAAAGTCACTTATCCATGGACCACCAAAGGTCGACAGTATAAAAGGCGTCGCAGACGACGTTAAGCCATCACTCTGTCAACATGTCCTTGAATCTGTTCGACGTCCCAGACATTAACTATCGCTATGAAGCCAAACGATGGGTTCCTTTTAAACCCGCCAATACTGGCTGACGACGTATTCTCTTTACCGTCCCCTCCTCCGACGATTACTATGATCTAAATGAAACCAAGTTGGAAGTGAAAGTACCTATGAATACCACAGGCACAGGAGGTCTTTTTGATGATCAAACAGATGCCTCAGATGGCAATGGCACAAAATATGTGTATTGTGTGAACAATTTTGAACATACCCTCTTTAATCAAATGAATGTGACCTTCAACGGCGTATTGATGACGGAGCAAAACAATGCCTATCATCAGAAAGCCTACGTAGAAACAGTGTTGAATTACAGTCGTGAAGAAGGAAAAACCACCCTGGCTGCTCAAGGATGGGTCAATGAACTGAAGGTGCGTGCTTCATTAACCACTACCAATGCTGGTACTAATGATAAGCCCAATACCAATGACTGGGATGGAAAAACAGGGCTCAAGGCCTTAACCCACCGTTTGCTAGGCAAAGCGTATCATACCTTTATGATCAAACCTCATGTGTCCGTGTTCAGAACAGGCAAATGTCTTGTGCCAGGGGTTCAAATTGCTCTAGAACTCTATGTGAACGACAGTAACATGTTTCTCTTTGGAACGCCAGACAAGACCACCTCCGTAGGCAAAAAGATTCCCACCCTAGAAGACAACGACATATTTGTCACTTTGTGGATGAAAAAAGTCACTCTCAATGCCTCCGTGTATACCAGACTGCAGGAAGAGCGAAGTTTGAGTAAAACCAAGAAAGTGCAATATCCTGTCGTGCGCAGTGAAATCCGAACGTATTCCTTTGATGGTAACAGCATACAGTGCGCGCAAGACAACGTTTTCGTGAACAGGGTTTCGGGGAAGGTCATTATAGGATTAATGAATTCCACCAATTACCATGGAAGTCTGCAACACTACCCCTTTGCCTATCAAAAGTTTGGGGTGACCCGGGTCCGACAGACGATTGACGGCGAAGAGTACAAGTGCAGATCGTTAGAACTTAAAGGCAATACCAAAGCAGAATATTTGGTAGGGTATGACCGATTCCTTACTGCCTCTGGGGCCTACAAACATCATAAAATACCTATGATGCGGCCAGGGGATTGGGGACAAGGCGAAAATTGCATCCTGTTCATGTTCAACAATGTCCCAGGCGATGCCAATGACCCTGAGTACAGAAATCTCAGACTCACAGGCAATGTCCGCTATGAAATTGACTTCCGGGCAGCAGTCGGTCACAACATTACCGTGGTGATCTGGAACGAGTTTGAAAATATCTATGAAATAGAGCAGTGGGGTGGAATTCTTTACTCTGTCAACAGCTGCTGAACCACTTAGCCAGACAAGATCCTGACTTGAACAAAGCATTTCGAGGGGTGTTTCCAGCGGACAAGTTACCAACCGTTCCCAAAACGAGAGTCTTGAGTGATGCTTACATTGTCAACACAGACCCCGAAGGTCAACCTGGGGAACATTGGTTAGCCATTTGGACGAGAAACCGAGTGTGTCAAGTCTTTGAAAGTTATGGTTTGCCCTTATCCACTTACAAGAACCTACAGTTACAAGCTTCAATCTTGGACAAAAAGTGTTAAGAATTTTGCTCTTTCTTACACACAGGAGACCCACCCTGTGTATTTGGCACCATGGTGACCCCTCCCCCCACCCCTCCCTGGTCAATGTTGTTTAGTAGGCAGCAAAAATGTTCGGGCCACACTTCAACATTGTTTTTTTTTTGGGGGGGGAGTATCTTGAGTGAACCGGGCTTTAGAGGGAAGTATTCTAAAATTAAACATATAACGTGCATTTTTCTTAACATTTTTGTCCAAGATTGTATTTTCGCGATACTAAACGGTATGCGCCACAGTAAACATTTGAAGTGAAGAGAAAGTGTTTTTTCAGGGGAATAGAATAAAGATAAAATTTTTGTGAATGCAAAAAAGAATGTTGATTTCTATTTGGCCCGCTCTCAGGGTTGTAAATGCTCCGGGGAAGGGTGAACATACAAGACTGACATTACAGTGACAACAAGGCGTAGTTGTCATGGTCACAGAATTATAATGTTCATTGCTCTTTAGACGCCGTTATGGACTCGATACGCAATTACGATACGTCGGAAACAGAGAACGACACTGACACGGATTGTTCTCCCAGTGAAACATGGCTACAGTTGCTAGTGAACCAAGTGCGGTCTGTCTATTTACTTGCGGTTTCTAAAAATAATTTTCATGCGTGCCGTCATGTCGCCCAACGGTTTACAACAATCTGAGCATTTTCTGTCGTTGGAAAAGATTTATTCCTATATATTTCACTATTTCCAACGGTTAACAAGAACTTACCATTACAGAGGTCTTCTCAGAATGAAAAGAACAGCACATGTTACGTCCTATACAACGGTTTACATCTAAAACATCGAAATATGAGACTGTCACTCAGTTATTCCTCAAAGACCGCTAGTAAATCGTTGTAAACCGTTTGGAAATCGCCATTTTAAGAACAATGTGCTCTGTTTGTCCAGACTATTATGTACTATATCCAGGACACATAATTCCCTTGGTTGACGGAATGTTTTAGCCTAAGAATCACCCTCAAAATGGACACCAAAGTACACGGTTTACAATCCGGAACTAACGTTGTAGACAAACGGAAGTGACGTCAGCTTTGTACTGCATAAGACTGTAATTCCTCTTATCTTATGTTTACAAGTATTGATTGTCAACTATTGTAGGCATTTCTGCTCACAACTGCCTAGTACTTTATTGTTCCCTTTCTTTTTAATGATTAAATCGATACAACCATTTATCGAGTCAATAATTTTATCAATCGATTCGGCAGGTCAGTTGAAAAAGGTAGTTATTACACGGCTTTGGAATTCGTCGTAGTTTCCACGAGTAATATTTTTACTCAAAGTTTGTTGGCTCAGGTCGCTTCTTACTGAATGCAACAAATTCTCTATAGGATTTAAATCTGAACTTCTGAGAGGGATAGATAACAATTCTGCTATAAGTTTTCCTAAAGCCTTCTTCACTCCCGCGGCGTTCTGGCTCGGATCACCGTCTTGAAGCCAAAGGCGGAGAGCCCTTTGTCGGCTTTTCTAAAGAAACTAGCAAAATTGGCTTTAACAAAATTTTCAAAAAACTGTTCTTCTAGCTTTTCGTATGGATGGCAAGCTATAACCCCTTTGTTGTAACTAATAGCCACTAAAAGCTTAAGAACTCTTCCACCACTGCCCTCTTTCTTCCCCTCGACGTGCATCCCTCAGCTAGACCCTCCTTTTTAGTCCTCCATATTCGGCCTTGTGGGGCTTTGGCCTGGCCCGCCGGGTTTCTTCTGTCATAGAAACTCACTCTGTCTAAGCAAAAGTTTACTTTGGAAGTCCACACGTCTCTCGATCTTTCTTTGCGAATCGTTTTAGCAAAGCGATATCTGCATACAATATCGTTCGAGGAAAGAACCCCCTTTTTGAGCCTCTGTCTGTACCCAAATCCATACTTGTTCAAAACACGACGCACCTTTCTATTGCTTACTTGACCTGTATGCAATCCGCACGCCTCAACCAGTTTACCTCAAGTGATGTTTGGGTTTTCGCGACGAAGGATTTTGACTTGTCGGATTAATAATCTCTCCATTCTGGTATCGATCATAAGAGGTCGTCCAGGGCTCGCTCTCATCTTTTTCGTCTTTAAGCTTTCAAAATGGTCCTTCTTAATTTTAAAGATTGTCGCTAATGAAACTCCAAGCTTTTCTGATATTTTCCGAGGTTTGTGCTGCTTATCTTTCAATGCATATAGTATATATGCCTTTAAACTACCGTCCATGACGCCGTGGAAAACCATGTTTGTTGATCTGTAAGTAACCCCCCAATGACGTAACAATAACTTTCCCGATTATTTACCATAATTAGCGGTAATTGGTCGTCCTGAACAATGGCGTCAAATCACTGGGGCAAGTACAATAATTTAATGTAGGAATAGTTTCCCCTCCAACGGTCTTTTTGGATTATCCGTCAAAATGTATTAAATACAATCTTGGACAAAAAGTGTTAAGAATTTTGCTCTTTCTTACACACAGGAGACCCACCCTGTGTATTTGGCACCATGGTGACCCCTTCCCCCACCCCTCCCTGGTGTTGTTTAGTAGGCAGCAAAAATGTTCGGGCCACACTTCAACATTGTTTTTTTCGGAGGGGAGAGTATCTTGAGTGAACCGGGCTTTAGAGGGAAGTATTCTAAGATTAAACATATAACGTGCATTGTTCTTAACATTTTTGTCCAAGATTGTTGGTTCAAGCAATAGAAAGAAGTCATTACCAGTGATCATACCCTGCAAGCCATGGACAGTCAAACCTGTGGACATTATGCGCTCTTGTTTTTAAAAGCCAAAGCCAGGAATGAATCCTTTCAAGATTTTTTAGCGCAATGGAACTCGCAAAATTTAGTATTAAATGATCGTCGTGCGGGTGAAAAGATTCAACGTCTAATTAAGACACAGCTGTCTAGAAAAGAATTAAGTTGTAAACAATACAATATAAGCTCTTGCGCCTTTTGCTATTTTTATGATTTGCAATAAATGTGTGTACCCAACTCTGTGTCTTTCATTCTTGAACATGTTAACGCGTGGGGATGAGCAAAATGCCATAGAGGGATTGGCTTTTACGCAAGCCCATATCTATTTGTTGTACCAATGGTATTGTCATTGTCATTGGTCCTTGGGTACTTTACAAGACTGGATGGAGATTATGACCCTTGCCAGATGTCATCCATTATCTGCATTAAACACCTTTCTGTTGGACAAACCAGTCCTTAAAAAGGTGGTGTTTACTACCCTAGCCTTAGTCTCTCCCAGACTGTATCGAGTGTACTTTCAGCATGATTACACGTCAGGATTCCCGTCAAGTCTATGAGGCCTTTGCCAAAGCCAAGGTACTGTATATGAGTCAACATTCGTGGGAGATTTTTGACCAAGACCAATGGGATGGGTCTCATAGGAAGCAAGCGGTTCAGTTGTCTCAACAACAAGCTTGGGAGGCCATGAGACACTCTATTGAATGGATGGGGAAAACCTATTTAAGGGAACACATGCAATTGATTGTTCAATTAGCTTCTCCGCGTTTGTATCAAACACTATGGGGCGCAAACGACACACTGTGAGGCGAACACGTCGCCAAAGTCAAAAAGGGGGCACCCGATTTAAAAGAAAACCCCGTCTAGTGGATAAAATTGCCGAAGTTGTGGCTATGGGTTTATCGGGACCCTCTCCCAGTTTTGCTAAAATGGGTGCTTTCTTAGCCAAGCAAGCTTTCAAAGGTATAAAAGACAACGTCCGTCATTATCAGAGAGGCAAAGCACTGTCTTATCCACAGCCACCAAAATTGGTTATAAATTGGGCAACGACAAAGGCTATAAACGTATAGGTGCAGTGGGAGCGACTGGTCATTACACTCACTTTCGTAAACCTTGGGAAACATGATTCGTCAACCTGCTAGTGTGATTATTGCTCGACCTTCCAGTAGTGGCAAGAGTGAATTGGTCGAAAACTTCTTGAAAGGGAAAAAACTGTTTTATCCTCCTCCTAAAAAAATGGTCTACTGTTACGATCGATGGCAACCTCACTTTGATCGTATGAAAAAGCAATCCAAGGTCATTTTTACAAAGGTCTCCCTCCTGAAGGAGCGTTAGTCAAATGGTTTAAACCATGGGATTCTCATTCTCGATGATCTGATGGAAGAATCTGGCAATGACAAACGCGTGCTGGAGTTATTTACTAAATCATCATCGTGGTATTACCGCGTTGTATCTAACCCAAGATCTCTTTCCTCCCGGCAAATTTGCCAAAACCATCAACCGCAACACGCATTACGCTGTTTGCTTCAAAAGTCCACGGGACAAGATGGGCATCCGTAACTTGTTGCTGCAAGTGTATCCAGACAAATGGCGACGAGTGCTTCAATTATTTTTGAGGTTGACGGCTCGCCCCTTTGGCTATTTTATGTTGGATTTTCATCCAGCCTCCGACGATCATTTTCGCGTATGAGTCATTTAACCCAACGTGAGGGGAAACCTCAGGTTCATACGTTTGACGAAGATATAAAAGGAGATTCATTCACGAGTGATTCATTAACCATGGTCAAAGGACGACAACGACGGAGAAGGTTGGCAAAAAAGCGCAAACCTGGGGTGGGACTCCCTTCTTAGCAGCAGCGATTCCTACCTTAGTGGCTGGAGGGAAAGCGGCGGCCATGGGAGGACTAGGCGTTGCAGCCAATTATGGGACCATGAAAGCTTTACATGCCTTATCCAAACAGAAGTTTAAAAGGAAACGCAAACCCCAAAGGAGAACTAAAGCACAATGACGGGACGTATGACACGGCAAGGGGCCTTTTTAAAAGATGTCTTAAAGGAAGCCAACCAAAACAAACGTCAACAAAAACTTCGCTATGCCAATGCAGATCAGATTAATGCTGAGTGAATTATTTATGAATACCTTGCGTGGGGCGATTCGTCCTGGCAGAAAAACCGTGCCCAAATTAAAACCCTACAGCAAACAGCTTCGCATGATTGCAAGTCCCCGTCAGAGTATAAAAAGAAGACGTAGCCTCATGATTCATCAATTAGGAGCAGGTGTTTGGAGTGAATTAAAACGTTGTTATCATTGTGCTAAGACCCGCTACCGCTATCAAGATGAAACAAGTCCTGTTACAACGACTGCTATGTGTGCTAGAAGGGTTGATGACGTTGGCCACCCTGTTGAAAAACCTTCACCAACGCATGAAAGAAAAATATCCCAAGAGGTGGGGGTCCAAAAACGTATAAGTATGCCCCTGGGACTTTAATGTTCATTCATTGCTGACCATGGACGGTATTAGCAGCACGCCAGTGGAAAACTCTGTTCAATTTTTACGGCCTAGGGATAAATACAGATCAGACCTCTTAGATGGTAGTCGTCTGACTAAAGCAGCGGGTTTAGCGGCCCATCAAGAACTGTTGCTAGAAATTCCGGCGCCGATACCTGGAAAGAACCCAGTTTGAAATCTGTGAATCGACAGTTACGACAATGGACCAAGAAGATTCATCAGCCTGGGGGTATACGCTCTATAAGGCGTGATGATTCAGATGAGGATAACGATGAAAATGATTTAGCAGTGGGTCCCATGCAACAATTCATGGAGAATATTCGAAAAATTCAGAAAAGTATCAAAAGGAAAGACACGACCCCTAACGTTCCACAAACACCCGTGACACCGGCTATTAAACAATCGCCCAGGACTCCGGAAAGCAGAAAAAAACCAAAGTTTTCCTTTAAAACTGGGTCGAAAGAAAAGCGTTTGTTAGGGAAGACACCTAAAAGGAAACGTCTGCTTCGTCTACCTACAAGACCCATGAAAAGTCTTTGGAAGAATTAGCGACAGAATTACCCTTTTCAGACCAGTTAGGCGAATCTCCTTGGAAAACTCCGGGTGAACTGGCCAGAGACAGTCTCAGAGCCATAAGAAGACGTACACGCAAATCCTAGGGTGAGGAACGAAAAAAAGACGGTTTAAAACAAACTGTGCTGAAAAAGGCCACCGAAAAAGCTTTGAAAAAGTTAGTCCCGGCCCCTGGGTGGAAACCCTTTGGTACTCCGACTAGACGCAAACTCGATGGCAAAGTCTGGTAGGAGAAAACGTTCAAGACCCCGTAGAAGGAGACAGCGAGGGGGAAAATTTGATTTTCAAAAAGCCATTGAGAAAACAGGCATGGAGTTTCATATTCCCTCGTAGCGATTTGCAGGCCCTGGCACGAAACTAGCCAAACGTTTGAAACGCGGAGACAAGCCAAAAAACAGGTTAGACTGAATTGCCGTGCATCATGACATTGCTTATAGCAAAACCAAGAATTTGCAAGATAAATGGAAAGCAGATGACGTCATGATCAAAGCCGTTGATCGTTTACCCGGGAAAAAGACCATAACCGAGAAAGTCATGCAAGCCAAGAAAAAAATTCAAATTGTAATCTGGGTGTGTTTTTTATTTCAATAAACAAAGACTGTGCACACCAATTTGTTTGTCATTGTTGTTAAAATTGATTGAAATGTAACATGACAACATATTGACTGTCGGACTGAAAGTTGACCAGGGTTTGAGGGAATTGAAACAATCCACCCCATCGTGACATGCGCCTGCTTTCTCTCACTGACGTAAATCGGCCGGACTTAAATAGTTTTTTTTCCACACATCGGATTGACCTGATCTTTCTGCTTCATACCAAAGTTCTATCAAATTCACACTTTGAATAAGTCTTTGAATAAGGACATTTTGGGTAATATGGCAATCGAGACTTTCCACCCTGATTCAGGTAAAAACAAACTGGGGGATAGTTTGACTCTAAACTGATTGGCTTTATTATTCGCATAGTCACTGGTGACATGGTGAGACTTCAAACGTCGTCCTTCATTCCCTCCCTCTATTTATACCCTGACCCAACAACAACAATAACATCACACAGAGACTGTATCTCGAACTTAGTTTATTTCTACATTAAACCTCCCTAACGATTTAATGTTACAACACTTCGAATAGCGCCACCATGCAGACCTATTCCTATGAACAATACTTGTTTACAACTCTAACAACATGTCCACTTTGCCTCGAATGCCAACGTATCCATAGGGATAGGACATTCGAGTGGTTCGGTCAATCACTCGCTTATCAAACACTAAGCCATATTGTTTCTCCCTTTCTATCAGACGAATACATTTGTTGGTTTGGTCCCTATTAAAGAAATTCTTATCGACAAACGTGATGGTTCGCCTTTCCTCTTGAGGGTCATCCAATTCTTTTAAAATGTTATCCCTCAAGGCATAAAAGTTTAACGACAACTCATTTCGGTAATTCAGAGAAAACCCTCTGACTTGACATTCCACTTTCCCTCCCCTGGTAAGATACCCATAATTTTTAGGTCCCCCACTAGCAAATTCTATGATGGGATCTCCGTCCTTTTCGTCTGTAAAATCTCTTAAAAAAACACCCAAGGGAATTTCTACTTGACCGGGGCGCCATTTGTAAATCACGGAATCCGTGTCATAATAAAAGACACGTTGCTGAAGGGTTTCTAAGGCTGAGTACAGGGTCAGGCAAGCATGGGCAGTGGTGTAGACGGCCACAAAGATGTTGGTCTTCAGATTCTGTTCCACTTGTTCCTCTGCACGGGTAGTCACGACCTCCAACACGTCTTCTGAACACACGCGTATGTTGCTGATGTGGTAACTGGGGTCTTTTAAAAGGCTGTACTGGGTACTGGGTTTATTATTTCGTTCGCCAAATTTTCCCCAAAAGCTGGTTAAAAAAAAGAACGTAAAACATATTAGAGGTGTTCTTAGATGGCAGACTTTTCCTACAAATAACAACGTTAAAATGCAGACTTTTTCTGCTTTGTTTTCATACATTTCCTTTATATTTTTAGGTCAAAGAGTGTTTGCACTTTCTTTCAACACGGTGTTTCTTAAATGCAGACTTTTGCTGCCACTAACAAGGTTAAAATGCAGACTTTTACTGCATGTTACGTTATTGTAAACATAAACAAATACTCACGAGTTGAGCATCATTTTGGCCACTTGTTTCCTTCCCGGGTTTTTGGCGACGTTTTCAAGGGTGATCCCTTCCCGCTCTTGGTACCGTCTGATGTAATTCTGCTTCTCTTCTGGGGTGCGACAGTCATCTGGCCAGCCCGCTGACTCTTGCTTGATCTTAAGCCAAGTGTTGACATAGTCCGCGAACAGACCAGTTTGTCGATCTTGTTCTTGAAAATGCCACACTTCGTGGATCTTTAAAACACGGTACCCCAGTTCTACAGCTTTTTGGATTTCGGTGGTGACCCTTTGATGTAACAGCCGAGGAAAAACGTTCTTGGATGAGTTTTCCTTTTCTCAGATTTTGGTATTGGGAGCCACCGTCAGAACGCTCCTTCATAGTCACGATGGCGCGGGCTAGGCAAAGATCGTGGTTGTTTTTAATTGAAGGACGCATCGGTTTGTTTTTGCCATCTTTTCCGAGGCCATTTTTCCAGGGTTTTTATTTGCAGGTCGACTTCCCTGTCCAAAGGTTTTGACAAAAGTCAGTTCGACAAAAAAGCCATCTCTTTCGGGATCAATCACTTGAGCAGAATTCAGTTTTCTGGCCAGCTGTTCCAAATAAGCTCTGGCACATTTCTGATTGTTTAACCATTCATTCAAGGGTACATTTCTGGCGGACTGGGCCCATATGTTGGTGAGGGAATTGGAATAGATGGCAACAAGCAGCGAATATTGTGCAGGATTGATGTTTTCTGCCTGGACTACTTGCTGCAGTCCTTGGCGAATCGCTTCTGTTAAAGCTTCGCCGAGTGGTTTGTTTTCTTCTGGGGTTCGAAGTTGAAGAAATGTTAGGCGAAACTTCTTTTGATGCACTATTCCGCGAAACGAGCGGTTTCTGCTTGCTTGGGTAAAGATGGCCCGAAAGATAGGGTTCCCACCCTGTTGCTCGTATGGGCGAGAGGCGGCTAAGAATAATTCATTGTCCTGGGAGCCCATTAAATCTATAAAAAATAGAAAACGAGAGTTATTTTCGCTTACTTCCGGTTCATTTCACTAACTTCCGGTTCTTTTTAGGTCGTCGGGATCTTTCGACTCCCTTCGGGTTCTTTCCAAGGTCTTAGGGTACCTTCGACCATATTCGGCTATGTTAGTTACCTTCGGCTGCCTTTGGGTTCATTCCGAGGTCTTAGGGTACCTTCGGTTGCCTTCGACTATGTTTACTACCTTCTCCTCCCTTCGGCTATGTCCACTACCTTCGGCTCCCTTCGGATTATTTATTTATTTAGTTTACTCTAAAACTAAAGACCCGCCACTCGTAACACCTTTCAAAACCCTTCCTAGTCTAGTCTTATCTTCAATCTCACTTTCCACCATTTCATTATTGCCTTCGTTCAGTATCGCTAAATAAAAATAATTCAAATACCTATTCTAATGGCCTCGACCTTTCTTTTAAAGTAACGTCTCTCACTTTTTTTTTCTTCGTTAAGAGAGATTACTTACCTTGGATTTGACTATCAATGGCTTGATTATCGTTTTCCATTCTGTCTTGAATAAGCTCCCTTCTGACACACACTTGGCAATTGATGGGGCTGAATGAAGTCTAATCACTTACTTGGCACAAATATATGCGAGCAGGGTTTCGACCTTTTAGCTGAATTTGCATACAAACTCACCCTAGAGTATACCATTGACGTCAATCGAAGTAGATTTCTTTTAGCTAGGCTGATTATATGACGCAATTTGTTTTCCCTAAAGACTTGGTGAAACATGCAACGTTGCACGTTTCCTTTTTTCCCCACGTTTTAAGCTATGTGTGTCCTTTCAACTCACGTTTATTTCAACTTGCGACCTTTTGCTTTTCCTTTCAGGGATTAAGCGGCCATCTTGGTATTGTTTCGATCATTAACCCGCCATCTTGTCTGACGCTACTGCCATGATAGAGTGCACGTTTTGGGTTGTAAACATTTATTTCGTCATGTTTTTCCGTTCTGCTGCTTTTTCTAAGTCTTTTTTCTTTTTTCATTACGTGACCTTTTGCTTTCTATTCAGTGATTACGCGGTCAGCTTGATTTGTATTCAAAGTGTAAGCCGCCATTCTTTCAGGGATTAAGAGCCTTTGTTTCCCTCATTAACCCACCATCTTGTTTCACGTTGATGGTTTCTATATTTTTTGCGTTTTAAACCCTCCACATTTATTTGTTTCCCTCTTTTTCCAGTCAATTACTCACAAGCCATTGTCGTCTACTTATTTTTTTATTTTAAACCTATTTACAAAGTGGGACATGTGGAAACGCCTAGAGCTGTCCGCCCAATTCAACAAAGTATTGAAATAACTTAAAATACGATATACATTTTTGTCTCATCAACCACTGACTTTCAATTGTTGCATTTACATAATTCCAGAATCCAACACTATGTAATTCATCTAAGGTTAACCTATAGTTTAAAATTCTGAGACAATGACTGCAAAATTCCGTATCGGCTGTGTTTAGCCATTCTGTATACTGGCATTCTTCTCGGTAGACAAACTGTTCAAATACTTTTCTAGAAATATATAAATACATATCAAAATCAGTGGTTCATTACAATAAATAAATGGTTTTCAGGAATATCTGAATAGGTTCTATTAAATTCACTGAAGGCCGAAAGAATGTCAAAGTCTTCATAGTTCATAAACTTCACGTAGTCTTGGATTAGGAATGTCAAAGGCGAAATTCACATCCGCATCTTTCTCTATTATAAACCCACAAACTGTACGGGTATTGCCGCGAAAGCCTGATTTCCAAAAAAATTCGTCTACAAGATATAAAACACAACACCGAATGATTATTCCGTGTATCTTTCACTTGTTGATTAACACCATTTTAAGAATCATGCGAGACTACATTCCTTAGAATTCCAGTAATCCTAATGCAAACGAAAATTTCAAAAAGTCCACTTGACGGAAATCGGTAAATCTAAATCTCGTAGCATATCCACATCAATAAGTATGTTTCTTTCAACAAATATATAAAATCGAAATATAGAAAGAGATACGTCCAAATACGGCAACCATTCTCTCCACAAAAAAAAAAACAGAATGAAATTTCTTTTCGCGTCTTTCTTTCCTTCACATTCTATGATACCTTTTCAATACGTACCTGAGATTTTTGGCGTGTTCTTTCTGAAATTCAGCTCTCAGGCTTGGTATTCTTGTTCTTCCAGCTGTTTGCGAACCGTATGACACGGAGGCAGGAATGTACGGGCTGTTTCCCCAGGATTTGGCACGGCCATCGCTGCTAATTCCTGTAAGGAAACCGGATTTCGTAAATGTGGATGGAGAGGTTTAAGTGGAGAAAAATACGCCATTGGAACTGAATTGTAGAGAGAGAGAACCATAAAACTTGTCGAAAGAACCACCTTCAGCAAACACTTCGATCACTGGGTTAAGCGAAATTATGCTTCGATTTTAGCGTCGCTTTCTATACATTTTAAAGTCATAACTTCCTTCATTGGTTCTGCTAGTCTCCCTTGAGTCTTTCTCTTTTCCGATAAGTCGTTGAGATTTCAGCCCACCCTAAATTTGATTAGAGCACATGTTACGCTACTACATTTCGCAATCTTACTGTAAGCACGTTTCTTACTGAAATCACGTTCTACCCTTTTACGCGTTTGGTTTTATTTTCTTTTACTATTTTATTTACCCGCTTTTTTAACTAACTGACTTTTTTTTTCGTTTAGCAAGGACCGTTTTGCCAGGGCTGAATATTCTTTTCGCTTGGAAAACCCCTTGCCAATTTAATTTTTCCCTTATTAATCCTTCCATTGTCTAAGGGATTAGTCGGCCATCTTGTTTGACGTCAGTGACTATTACACAACCTTTTTGCCTGCACGCAAACAATTTCAGCATGCAAGTTTAAATAAACAAAGACACATATAATCGTTTTTTTATTTTACACCAAATGTTCCAACAGTGGATGTTTTTTTTTCACTTCTAATTGTCAGCAAGAAAGGAAACACACACGGCTCTTTGAGACTTAACGTCATGACTAATTACCTTGACTGGTTTTTGAATATTTAATTACCTTTGACCTATTTCACTTTAGATCCTTGAATCTTTCACCTGCAAAGCGAACGCTCTCCTGTTTAGCTAAAAACGCCTCGAAAACTTCATACAAATGGTTGGCTATAATTATATTCCCTTTTCCGCAACATTTTAGAACGTTTTTTCTTCAAATTCATGACTGCGCCTGCGTTCTGCTTTGCGACGGCGCACTGAGTAGGGACTCTTATCTCTCCCACATGTCTGCCTTGACCAAACCGATTACACGTATAAGTTCGATTGTTCCTATAGTATAATAACTAGTCAAGTGTCCTTCCTTTATGGTTTATGATATCATCCCTTCCGATGATTTCTCACCACCTCCGATGATTTCCGACGCTTGCCGAGTACCTCCAATGATACCCGACGCCTTCGGACAAGGACCCGAGCCTGGATTTAGGATATTTCCGATTTCCTTTCGATTACCCCTCTCCACCAATCAGAAGGCTGCTAGAACAATGGTGACTCAAGTGCCCCCCAATAATGCTCCCTTTGTTAAAAAGCCTAAAATTGTGGAAAACAGCGCGCGCAACTGTAAATTTACTTAAATTGGTTGTTAGGTCAGAAACGTGCAGCCCTTTCAAATTTGCTATTTTTGTGCAAAACAGTGTGCGCAACTACGAATTGCTAGAAATTAGGGTCTTAGTTAAAAACGTTAAGTAAAGAACAACCTTTAGGTAAATTTACCTAAATTGGTGTGTATGGTCAATAATATCCAAGGAACTTCGATTTGCTGTTTTAGATAAAGCTCGCGCAAAACACTCTGCGCAGCTGTCCTGTTGCTTGAAATTTTCTTGTTTTGTTAACAACATGCCGAAAACATAAATCTGACAAAAAGTCGAACTCTTCAAGGTAAAGATTGTGCCAAACAGCAGGCACAACTGTAATTTTGCCTAAATTGACTTCTTAACTCAAAAACTTTGAAATGTCGTTTTCGATAAAACTTGTGCAAACTAGCGTGCGCAACTGTAAATTTATTTAAATTGTCTTGTTAGGTCAAAAACATGCACACATCTTCAAATTTGCTATTTTAGTGCAAAGCAGTGTGCGCAACTACAATTTGCTAGAAATTAGCGTCTTTTGTGAAAAACGTGAAGAAAACAACAACCTAGCAAAAAATTCTTACTGTTTGACCTAAAGCTTGTGCGAAAAATCGCCGCGCAACTGTAAATGTACCTAAATTGCCTTGATAGGTCAGAGACGTGCAGACAACGTTAAATTAGCCATTTTTGTGCAAAACAGTGTGCCCAACTACGAATTGCTCAAAATAATCGTCTTTTGTCAAAAACGTAAAGATAACAGTAACCTGACAAAATATTCTCACTGTTTGACCTGAAGCTTGCGCGACAAACGGCGCGCAACTGTAAATTTACCTAAATTGGTGTGTGTGGTCTAAAGGAACTTCAATTTGCTGTTTTAGATAAAACGTGTGCAAAACACCATGCAGAACTGTCCTGTTGGTCGAAATTGACGTCAAAACACTCTGTGCAACTTTCGCTTTGCTTCAAATTGGCGCCTTGTGTTAACAAGGTAAAAATTGTGCAAAACAGAGAGCCCAACTGTACATTTACCTAAATTAACTTGTTACGTCAGAAACGTAGAGACATCTTCAAATCTGCCATTTTTGTGAAAAACGGTGTGCGCAACTGCGAATCGCTAGAAATTAGCGTCTTTTGTCAAAAACGTGAAGAAAACAACAACTTGACAAACTGTTCTCACTGTTTAAGCCAAAGCTTGTGCAAAAGAGAGCCCGTAACTGTAAATTTGCCTAAATTGGTTTGTGTGGTCAATAATATTCAAGGAGCTTCGATTTGCTGTTTTAGGTAAAACTTGTGCAAAACCCTCTGTGCAACTGTAGTTTTGCTTGAAATCAACGTCAAAACACTTCGCGCAACTTTGGTTTTGGTTGAAATTTGCGTCTTTTGTTAACAACATGCCCTCGAAATTGGCGTCAACACACTCTGCGCAACTGTCGTTTTGCTTGAAATTTGCTTGTTTTGTTAAAGATATGCGAAAAACATAAATCTGAGAAAAAGTCGAACTCTTCAAAGTAAAGATTGTGCAAAACAGCAGGCACAACTGTAATTTTGCCTAAATTGCCTTCTTAACTCAAAAACGTGTGGAAAACTTTGAAATGTCCTTTTCGATAAAACTTCTGCAAAAGAGCGTGCGCAGACAAATTACTTTGCGCAACTGTCGTTTTGCTTGAAATTTGCGACTTCTGTTAAAAAGCTAAGAACTGTTCAAAACAGCGCGCTCAACTGTAAATTTACCTAAATGGGCTTGTTAGGGTTAGAAACGTGCAGAGATCTTGAAGTTTGCCAGGTTTGTGCAAAACAGCGTGCGCAACTACAAATTGCTAGAAATTAGCGTCTTTTGTCAAAAACGTGAAGAAAGTAACAACCTGACAAAATTTTCTCAATGCGTGACCTGAACCTTGCGCGAAAAGAGCACACAAC